TTGTCTCACCCTTCACCTAAGACCAATTTGTCATGGGAGACCCTACCAGGGGCACTAAGTGCCCCAGACAACATAGCTCCTAGGATCATTAGGGCACTCAAACTCCTCCACCACGATAAGGTGACGGTTCAAGGAGGAGTTTTCTTAGTGTAACAACTATAAAATATTTGGTTTAATTTAATTCCATAATAAATAAATAAAATAGGCCCTTACCACCTGTAGACCCTCCACCAGTAACAGTAGACTGGATTTAAAGGTCTATATGTGGTAGTTTTTAGATGAAGGCACTAATCCTGATGCTCCATCTGGATGTCTTAAGGCCAGAAGTGATGTGATATGAATTAGCAGCACTATTCTAATTGGGGTGAGACAGAATGAGTCTGTGCTGCACCTCCAAATGCTGCATTGTAAGACATCCCAGTGAAATAACAAGGCTGTCTAATTTTGAAGGATACACACCCTAAAATGTGTTCTCTTTTGCACATTCTTGTCTTTTTTTAGTTCACTCTCAGATCTTCACTCAAACACATTTGCAGTGGTCTCTTAGCCTAGAAATCTAGACAGACAGTAGCCAAAGCAAAATTATTACACTGGTCTACGCTGCATAAGGGCCTCAGCAGGTCTATTGGCTGGATCAGTGTTGTGTTATGCCAGTTCCAGTGTTCTGTCAGTTTGGTGGGCCAATTACATCGCTGTATCAGTTTGGTGGGCGGGATTATGTGACAGAGTGGACTAACCAAGATGGGGTGGCTTGTTTGAAACAGCTCTGGCATCAACTTTGGGCAATTTAGACCTGTGTTTTTCTTTGACTGAATATCAAATGGAGGTTTTAAAGTCCTTTACTTAGAAAAAGGATGTATTTGCGTCTTCTTCAACAGCGTATGGCGGACTGCCCCATTGACATTCAACCTTAGCAGGGATGTCACGTTGTTTGTTGTCCAATAGCATGCAGAGACAGTTTGAAGACAACTGTAAATTTTGCCCCATGACTGAGCTCTGTCTATGGGACATGGCCAGACTATTCATATCTATCAGATGGCTTGCCAGACTAGTGGATCTCTAGTATAAATAAATGCCTTGTGAGTCGGTCTCCGTGGGAACAAAGCTCGCGGGCTCCTGTTTCAGGAACTAGAAGTGAACTACAGACAATTCGGAGTCTTATTTTCTGATATTTTAACGTCTCGTTTCTGATTGGCTAACAGCAACACAACTCTACCACAGATTCTATTTGTTTTGCAATATTGATGTTTTATCTCTACAAATAACACAAGCGAGCGAGCACAAGAAGTTCTGCTATGTTGTGGAGTTGTCAATGCTAATGGTTAGCTTCTACTAGCTGAGATGGGCTCTGCTCTCTCATGGATTCTAAATCAACAACTGGTTTCCTAGTTGCGAGCCCATATGGGTGACATGCTAAAGTCACTGGCTTTTCTAAAGTGAGAGTTTCCCTTTCTATTTTCCAGAGGTGTGACCAAGTCACTGCTTTGCAAGTAAGTCACAAGTCTTTCCAGTCAAGTCCAAGTCAAAGACAACCAAGTTCAAGTTGAGTCCAAAGTCAATGATGTGGAAGTCCAAGTTAAGCTCAAGTTCTTAACTTTGACTTTTCAAGTCATAATCAAGTCATCTGTCCAACTTCAATTTAATGACAATGATAATAATAAATTCCAGAAATAAAGCTTCTTAAAGCTTCATTTACAGTATTTCCTCAAACAAGCAGAAAGTGCAACTGAAACTGATTATAAACAAAGTGCTGCTGCATTTAGCGGTACATCAAACACAGAACAAAGAATGCTTTATGATTTTTGTCCATGTCGTGCCACTTTTGTGCTAAAATATCAAACATGCTCATGTCATCATCAAGTCAACACATGCAAGTCATTGACGTTCAAGTCCGAGTCAAGTCATAAGTCTTTCTAGATTTTATCAAGTCAAGTCAGAAGTCATTAAAATAATGACTCAAGTTTGACTTGAGTCCAAGTCATGTGACTTGAGTCACTCTGCTATTTTCTATTGGTGGCTAATATTGGAAATAGGGGTAGAAGACTATTTTAACATGCTTAACGTGCATGTTAAACTCGGAATGACCAATCATATTTAAAAAATAAAAAGTAAAAAACAGTTTGTCAGTGAACTTGGTCTTTAAAGCTGCTTTCATGCTGCTGTTGCCATGCCAGCGTTTGACCCTCAAACAAAACTTTTGGTGCAACTTATTTATTCACCAAATATTTCCACATCATCTTTGAATAGGATCTTTCAAAAGTCTTTTTTAGTTTGCTTGTTCAGATGACCAACCCAATAACCTGCCCTTGTGAATTTGAACTGCATGTGGATAATTTTTAGTTAATGCTAAAACCAACAGCAGGTTCAGAGTGATTAGCAGATAATGAAAGCCAGACTGGTTTACCAACACGTTAAATGTTCTATATAAACTGATGCACAACGAAATAAAATCTCCAGAGAACGAGGTCTGACTTTAAAAGCACAAAGACACTCATCAGACGATTTATGTTTCCATCTGAGCGCGACAAGCTGTTTGCTCTGAACTACAAATCAAGACTCTCACTGTTCATCTTCCATCTGCACGCCTGCCAGTCCGTGTCCTTTTGAGTGCTGTTTTGCTGTCAAACATGTCCTTGATGTTTATGAGGCTGAGATGGTCCCCTGCATCATGTCGAGTGCCTCATCATCAATTCAGAAACTCATCTCAAAGATGCAGCTAAATATGGAGACAGTACGAATGGATACTGATTCAAAAGCCCAGAGATTCTCTGCTGTTTGATGCAATTAGCTGCTAACAACAACTAGGCTGCAGCTTTGGTGTCATTTTGGCAGCTGCTCTCAAGAGAATAAAAATCCCCCAAAATTCAACATTCACCTCTGTGAAATTGTCTATTTTTAAAAAGTGGTTCTGCGTGAGGAGTGATCTACAGTTAGTCAGTGAAGGCCAATACAATTAAACTGCAGCACTTCCATCCTAATCAGTAATTTCTGTTCAAGAGATGAATATTTTAGCAGCACATGAAAGATGCAGAATGTGTTAGAGGACTAAAAAAAGTCATCATAATAATACACTTCATTACCTAATTCTGGGGACATAAAACATGCAAAGAGGCACTAATTTGTTATCAGGGTAATTATCTTTGTGAATTCATTTTTCCAGATTAATGACTTATGGCTCTTATTTACTCTGTCTGGCTCTTTTTCTACGCTGTTTGAGCAAAGCACACAGCCTCCGGGGTCTGATGGAAAACGAAAACTCAAGAAATAGTTTAAATGAACCAAGAAAAAACCAACAACAGCCTGACCCAACAAACTACACGGGTGTGATTTATTAGCTGGGCAAGCCATCCGGTGTATGTAAAATATTTGGTTTATCCACGACCTGTGGACAGAGTTCAGTCATAGGGGTGAGTCCACGGTTGTCAATCAGACTGTCTCTGCATGCAATTGGACAGGAATAGGGCCAATCAGATCAACAAACAATGTGATGCATTCATCGCCACAGAAATCTGTCAACGGAGCAGTCCACCAAACAGGCATTCATACGTGGATGCCCCGTGGACTGGTGCTGCCTATTGGAGCTGCCGTGGTGGCCGGCTCCCATCTTGGATGGGTCTCCATTCGCCCCAGTGAATTTATTTGAGGACGATTTTTCCCCAACAAAAAAAAACCCACCTTTGATTATGCTTTTTCACAAAATCAGTCATATGGTATAGCATGAAAATAAAATAAAATAAAATAAAATAAAATAAAATAAAATAAAATAAAATAAAATCCCAACAGGTAGGCTAGAAGAGTCAATAGTAATCCCATGTTATCCATTTTCAATAGTGCGCTGGTTGTTGCAACAGTAAGTTGCACAAAAAACGGGCATAGTCGCTTACTCCACATCGACTCCAGTTTGGTTTGAAGAGTGAGGAACCCATCCAATATGGCGGTGATGCTGTTACACTCTCCAGCGCCCAATGGGAAAAGGAGGTTTCTCTATCTGCTCATGTATCAAAGAAAAGCCCAAAGCTAAAGTTGTTTCAAAAAAGCGTTGTTTCTGAGCTGACGCCATCTTTGTAGTTTTTCTCATCACAGCTCTAGTGCATAGCCTAGTGTGTCTCTGCAAACACAGAGAACTTTTTTGCTACCACTACAATTTGTCTAGCTTTTTAGGCTAGAGTTTAATCGTTTTGTTTAAAGACCTAAACGTGGCTTTGAAGTTAATTTGTTCATATTTACTGAATATATAATCTTAGCCATCAGTGCACATGATCTGTTGTACTTTAGAGGGTGCTAATTTGCTCTCAGTGACATCCCAAAACAGAGACTGAGCCAACAAAAGCATGCTAGTATGCTAACATGCTAACATTAGAAACTAAGTATAGTGGAAAATATTTAATGACATTTCAGTTATCTGGTTTATAATGCATCACTTTGTAGAGCAAAACTAAAAGCAGAACATTATAAAACCTACAAAAATAATTTTAAATTATTTTATTGTGACCGTGCTGCATGTTGTCTGTGTTTTGAGGAATGCCTGCACCTTGGTTCCTCAGTGTGCAGCGCAAGGATGAATAAGGCATCGAGAAAGACAAACCGACTTCCTGTCAAAGGAGAAATGCTATCAGAGTGATTTATGTGTCAAGAAATTTCTTTGAACATGACATTATGATTGTTTTCTGCAGGAAAATGAATGTCAGCTAATGCATAATTAATCCAACACGGGGCATGGTGCATCGCCACCTGCCTCACAGCGACTGGGATGAATTCACAATCTGCTCTGACATTTTTACCAGTGAAACATCAAAAAGAAAAAGGGTAAACTGGAGCAAAAACAATAAATAACAGTAACTGAGGGAGCTTTTAGTGTGCTTGCAGAGCCAAGACTTCAGCTGTGTTAAAACCTGTACTGTTTTCTCATCACAAACATCTGGTTCTGAACAGATTTATGCATGCATGTTAATATATTCTAATCTCCACTTGTAGTTCGTCCTGATCTGGCACTTTCTTACCATTCACGTTGCCCAGGTGGAAGTATCCATCCACCAGCGAGGCCCCGTTGTTGAAGTGTTGAGTCATGTGATCCAACCAGTTGGCCTCCACCTCTTTGATGCCCTCGTCATGGTTCTGAACCCGCAGAGGAACCTTGATGGTGTAGTACTTCACCTGGCCCTCTCGGACCGGTGGGTGGTTGTACAAAGCCAGCAGTTCCACACCTGTTGAGCCGAGACAGAAGACAAACCATGCTTATTAATTCATCTCACTGAGACGTTCGGCCTCTGAGGAAGTCTAGCACACATTTCCTCAGAAGACATGAACCACTCCTTCATCTTGGCTACAATCCAGAGTGTAATTTGGGTCTCAGAGGGAAGACGTTCAGCTCCCAAAAGCACTTCGGATCAGCTTTGTAAACGGTTGGCTTAGTGACAAGCGTGCTGGTCCAAAACATCTTAAATAAACCTAATTCTGTTGTAACGCTGTGAAAAGTGTGTCCAAGCATCAGTGGGAAATTATACATGAAGGAAAATTTTCTCAAGTCTTTCACTTATCCCATTTCCTGAGAATTTTCAACACTAATGGGTCAATTGGGAGTTTTTTTAAAAATGCATTTCTTAGAAAATCAAAACCAGAGGCTTTCAGCCAGAATATAAACTAGAAGAATGGCCAAGAAAAGTTGGCCTCAGTGTTCATCCTCACCAGCCAAAAGCAGCAGATAAACAGTTTGTGAGCGTTGGTGTTTCTTCTAGTTAGTTGTATGTTCTTACTGTTGGAAGAATGTGGAATTATGATTGTAACGCTTGAAAAAATAATTAGAAATTAGGTCTGCGAGTCTGTAGGGAAAGAGAAAGTCCTCATCTGCATAGAACTGAACATCAAGAAGTTCTGACCTATCTGCAAAAGCAGACGATCACCAAAAATAAATGTGTCTGTCAGTGTTTTTATCTTGAGATCCCAGGTTAAATGTATGTGTGAATAATGAGTTAACTGTGGCATTTTACTTCCTTTAAAGGTGCAGTATGTAAGACTATAGTGAGAATTTTACAGCGAGACATCCTAAAAGAGTTTAATGTTTCAGTCCTTTTGGAAGAAAGTTTATACTGAACCATAATTCATATCCAGCTGGCTGTGGGGATTGTCAGTTTTTCTCCTTTCAAAACAAAGGAAAGATGGATGTAACTACTGTTTACTTTCAGTGAGTATGAGGTTGCTGTGTCTCCTGCAAGCTAATACTGCAGCGCCGACAATTGTAATTTGACGACGGCCGGCAAAACAACACATTCTCACACCCTAAGTGTAGAAAAATGACCAAGCGTTTGTTCCCGACGCGTAGGGAGCCCCTGCACGTTGGGAGGCAACGCGCTGTGCGAGAGTGTCGTATCTGACGCCCGCGGTAAAATGGAGATTTCACCGACATTTCACCTCTAAACTCTAGCGATTTAACCTTCCCCTCACCCCCATCCTAACCTTAACCCAGTATGTCAGTCTAAATTTTGCGTTAAGCGTGTTTGAGAGGAATGATGAAATGTGAAACAAAGCTGCGTTAAGCGTCTTTGAGAGGAATGATGAAACGTGAAACAAAGCTTTGCATACACAAGCTGGTTAAGGTTAGGATGGGGGTGAGGGGAAGGTTAATTAGCAAGAGGGTAAAGGTCACAATTTGGTAAAATGTCTGTTTTACCGTGAGCGTCATATAACCGATGCTCTGGCACAGCGCGTCGCCTCCCGACGTGCAGGGGCTCCCTACGCGTTGGAAACAAACACTTGGTCACACTGAGTCATTTTTCGACGCTTAGGGTGTGAAGACACTATAACAGCAAGCTAGCAGCAAGAAGGCAAACTCTTCTTAAGCCGGAGGTAAACTACCTTAATAAGTGTAGTAAGTGCTCCTTGCCGTAAAGCACTCAAGAGTGCTAACATATATCACAACGTATTTATCTACTCATCAACTTCCTGTGTATGACTCATCTTTGCTGGTCATCTAGAATCTTCTGGTTCTGAGACGTAAATGACAACAGCCATGAAACTCCAGGAATGGCAGTGAGAAAGTCACTTTTTGTTAATAAAAATGGACTGCAGTACATGGATTTGACCACAGGATGTCATTCTTACTCCCTTCTTAAAAATTGCACCTTTAAGTATCTGTTCTGTTCTGCCTTGGCCCCCAAAATGTCTTGAAATGGCCCTGGGTGTTGCACTGAGTTTTCAAGGGGATCTGAATTGTACCAAATATAATAAATACTACATGCATTTTTTCTTGTTTTTTATTTGACTATTTTTCCTGTCCTGTTTGTCTCTTATCTTTCTGCACCTCTTCTCAGTTCTCCAGAAAAAAGAGCTGCTTGGCATCTTTCTTTTTCACCTCATGAGGTACTTTCACACTAAGCAGATCAAAAGGATCTACCAACCGCAAAGCTAGCGGAGAGCACGCTGCCCAGCCGCGTAAGTGAGGTGAAGTAACTTGAGCGTGGGTGATGAGCTCCTCTACTGCAGCGGAGCTCGTCAGGCATGAATATGAAAAAGAAAGTACAAGTGGATATGAATGGACATGAACTATCGTGGTAATAATAATTTTTGGGTGGTGCCACATAGGGAATGTGCCATGCACAGGATGCAGCGGACTGGAGCGCATCAACAATCAGCGCTTTGCTGCTCTCTGCTCAAAAGAATCCCCGGTATGTTGAGAGTCCATTTAAATAATGTAATATATGTAGACACTGGAACTTTTTCCAGGCTCCTCCTGGGTGTGTAAGTTGAGGGCTTCCAGCTCCCTCATAATTCAAACCCTGCTCCTGGATGAAAACCCAAACATTTTCATCAACATAGGAAACCCTGCCAGACGCAGCGGAAAGAGAATAAAAAGTGGACACGCCCGGGGAAAAGTGGATGTTTGGTCACCCTGGGTAAAACAACAACAGCCTTCCCCGTTGTGAGTCAAGATGGGTGAGTCCATGAAGGTTAATTCACAGTGTGATGTAGATCTGTCAGGATTTTCAAATCCTAGAGTTTCACCATCTATCTTCTACCAGAAGCTAATGCAGGAGATAGGTGTAGGAGACTATTTTCATGTTCAGCCTGCATGAAAAACTCAAGTGACCGATTATAATCGGGAATAATCATTAATTATTTATTTTTTGTGAAACTGACCTTTAACAATAAATGGTAAAAAAATGAAAATGAATCATTGATTTCTACACATTTCAAAATGTCATAGACCATATGAACTTTTACTACTCTTTTGCATCCTTGGAACATATAAGTTAGTTATTTTTATTGTAAATAACCCAAACTTTCATGCAGAAGGATTGAATTTGTATGCAAAACACAAAGGACCCTTCACCTGGTGAGTGTGGATAAAGCAATAATACAAGAGGAGATGTATGATGCCCTGAGCTGGACTCACAAACACACCAGAAATCTTTTCCAAGGATTCTGCCTCTTTTGAAACAGACGTGAGTTGAATCAGAAATAATTTGATTGTCATCATGCTCCTCTTTACTTTAATGCCTTTTAAAAGGGCTGCAACTCTGCTGCTGCAGAACTTAAAAGGGAGCGTTTTATTGTAACCAAGTTAATTCATAGTTAACCTTGAATAATGCATTAAAGCTCTGAAGCTGTTGTTTACATCAAGAAGAAATATGCATAATGCAGAGGGCCTCTGGAGAGAGAGGAGCAGGCCTACTGTGCATATGTCACCGCTCCATGCTCGTCTCCCACCAAGTCAGAGTGCAAAGACTTTTATTTGTTGTGACGGGAGCGAGAGAAATGTTGCTCTGCTTAGCTTTGAAAAACAAAACGTGAGCTTTTAGCAGGGTTTGAATCTGTGAGTGAAGAAACAATTCAGATCACTCCTGTGAACATTTTCCCCTTTTCTTCCCATGCAAATGTCAGACTGTCATTCCCCGAGTGAAGCAGATGGATGAGCAGAATGTGCAAGGCTGCCACCCACCCACACACAGGTGAGGGGAACCATTGGTCAGCCAGTTTGGTTTCATCTGTCTGTCCGTCCAGCCAGACAGGAGGAATAAATCATTTACAACCACTTCCTGTTTGGCTCAGGTGACGGATCTGACAGCTGGACACCAAATTCCCTAAATCTTGTTCTTTTGTCCCACTTCATAAAAATCTGATCAGCAGCAACAGGAGAAAGCTCTCATTCCCTCCCATCATCTTCCTCTTTGTTACCACATATTACAACTGGGACAATATGGCAAACAAATCTTGGACAACATGACTGACTTCCCGTTGGAAACGCCTCCAACTCTCCCAAAATCCCCTGATAGTGAACAGTTTGCATCACATTAATGGGCTTACAGCTTAAAGGTCAGCTTTAGCCATATTTGGAAGATATTTGCAGTGCTCCCTAGCAGGAATGAATGCCTTGTGAGTTGTTCTCTGGAGAAAAAAAGCTCCGGTGCGCCTGTTTGAGGACAGAGAAGTCAACTGAAGGAGAAGGTGGAAGGTGAAGACTCTACCACTGACTCTGCAACGTTGATGTCTTATCTCCACAAATAACATAAGCCTGGAGGAGTTCTGCCATCTGGTGGAGTCGCTAATGCTAACGGTTAGCTTCTACTAGCTGAGACGTTCTCTGCTGTTTCCTGGATGCTAAACCAACAACAGCCTTCCTTGTCGCTAGTCAAGATAGGTGAGTCCGTGAATGTTGATTGACAGCATGACGTAGATCTGTCAGGGTTTTCTGACCCGAGCATTTTTACGCCTATTTTCTATCAGAACTAAAGCAGGAGATAGGTGTAGGAGACTATTTTTGTGTTCAACCTACATATTAAACTCAGAGTGACTGATTATTTTAACCTGCTCTTTAAACACAGACCTGAGTTGAAGAACAGCTCCTAAAGATTCAGGTGGGTCATTATAGCCCCCTTCAGACAGGCCATGAAAAACGGAAATGTTCCGGAGTCTGTCCGTAAGACGTTTCTGTCTGAATACAAACATCCGGATAACGTGTTCCGGAATTTATCCGGACGAAGCCCCTAGTAACAGGTCCGGACTTGTTACGGACATGGTGGCTGCTTCAGACTGGTGAGGTAAAGTTCCGGACAAGAGGGAGGGGGAGGAGGAGGAGACCGAGGGACGCTGTGCGCACCTAGATAGCTCGCTGCTGTAGCATGCGGCGAACCACGGCAGCTCGCCTCCTACGGTACCGCCTAGACGCGCGACAGAGCACTTCACACCGCTTCAGTGATTCCTTTAACCATTGAGCTTCATCATCCAGGTCTCTTATGTGTCTTCTTGTGCGCAGAATTATGCTTAAGCGCCTCGTGATTTTTATCTTGAGAGGCGCTATAGAAATGATATTTTCTTCTTCTTCTTCTTAACTTAAGTCCGATTCCCCCCCCCCACCCCCCCCACCCCACACCCCCGCCACTGTCAGACATCTGGAACTTTTCCCTGCTGTGTGAACGCAGCCGAAAGGACAAGTTCCTGTACAAAAGTAGTGTGTCTGAAAACACAGTTCCAGTTAAAAACCGGATTGAATTGTCCGCAAATGTTCCAGAATGTCTGTCTGAAAAGGGCTTCATCAGTGAAAAGTTCTGAGTCTGATTCTTTCTTTAGACAAATGACAATACAACCACAGTTTAAATAGATTCTTACAGTTTTTCAGATGATTTTCTAGTTTAACTTCTCCACTGAGCATTAAAAAACAACCAGTCACTGCAGATTACCTTTTATTTGTAATAACTGAAGCATTTGTGTGCATTCTGTTTAAATGATGCATTATTAACTGGACATCTGTATGTCAGGCAGAGAGGTTTATCTTGTGAGTGGACGATTTTCTTTAGCACTTCAGAGAACATACGCAGAAACCACAGGAGGTGGCTGTGTGCCTTGCTGAAGGGCTACTTCAGCAGGACATCTCAGAAAGAACAATACAGGAAAATAAGATGTCCATCATACTGGAATGTGAGATATTAACAGGTCAAACTGAAGCTGGGCTTTTGTGTGAGTTGTCTGCTGCAGGAAAAAGCATCACTAAGCAAACCTGCGTGGTGTTTTATGGACCAAAGAATGAATGCATTAATGTCACAAGTAAAACAACAAAACAGAAGAAAAGTAAAAAGCATTAAATGGAGGAACCACCGAGTGTGCTGCTTGTCTGAGGTTTTAAAAGAAACGTTTTATTATTTTGTGAATTGAAGCAGTTGCATGTTTTCTCTTCTGAATTGAAGCAAATTCTTTGAGCAGAGAAGCAGAACAACTTTCCAGGGAGAAGGAACATAAAGTTAAGCCATCTTTGATATCTGGGGAAGTGTATTAATAACCAACATAAATCTCTTTAAAAACAAGTCACTCGCCAAGTTCTTCCCGGAGCCAACGGGACCTTTTTGTGCTGCGCTGGCCTGTAAACGCTTCTGTACCGCCTCATAAAAAAACAACACCGCAGCATCATTTGAACTCTGGCTTCAGGCCAAGAACTGGCTCCAATGGGAAGAAATGTCAAGCTATTTGCTCAGTTTCATCACTTTTCACCTTCCAGGGTAATTCCTGGGACGGCTTCTCTGCTCATGTTTATGGTTACAGCTGAGGAAGAAGAAATTAGCTGAAGTTAACAGCATGAATCCAAGGACATTAGCGTTTGTGTGACTTGGTGATCGTCCCGCTAACAACAACGATCAGAACCAGAAGGATCCAGCCCATGATGAATCATCCTCCTTCCCTCATGAACTTTGACCCTCAACCTGATTTTTTTTTTTTTACTAAGGTGGACTTTAATTTCATCCATTTATCCATCTGGATCTGAACACGTTCATCCGAAGACCCGGCTGTGTGAGAGAACCGCTCTGCAGCTCCAAAGCCTTTCGAACATCTGATTCTGTTATTTGAGGGTCTGGAGAATGGATTTATTCAGAAAATATGAGTTTTATTTCAGTATTAAATCAACAGACGTATATTGTAAATGTGTGTTTTGTTGCCGAGTCACACAATCGGACAGCAGAACTCTCTCGTCAGGGACATTTACAAGATGTTCTGGCTTTATTGAATCTCCTCCAGCATTCTAATCTAAGTGATATTTATGTTTTCATCAAATATTTAAGCAGTTGTGTTTGACCTGCAAACTCCCATTAAACAGACACTGTTCTCACTTAAATGAAGCCACGTGTGTTTTAAGTCAGCATTCAGTTTTCCAGAAAGCCACCATCTTTCTGCATCTCTAAGTGTTTGACTTGGAAAATAATGCACATGGCATTTAAGGTGGAACAAACCCGTTCTGCTCATGCAAATCAGTTCTATTTGGAAAGGGATTTTCAGGACACAGGGTTGTTGTTCTCCCTCAGAGATCCACGAATGGATCCAAAGAGTGAAGTGTTTCTATTTCAACACTAATCCACACATTTCTGCCAGTTTCCCTGGCAGCGCTTGCACGGTGTTCACCTCGAGATCTGAGGATTACCGAGGACAAGCCAGAAGCAGCAGCGAGCGGCAGTGAGCAGCAGAGGCTCTCGGGCCTTTTCGGCAGACTGGGCATTAGTGGAGAGGGACATGGGAGCTTGGCAGGCTCCTCCACCACCCCGGCTGGCGTTGTCACAGAGATTCAGGGGGATGAAGGTGGGGGAAGGAAGAGCTGTGAAGCTGAGGGAGGTAGAGGACGAGTCAGTGGGGGATTATCTCGCTGCAAAAAGCCCAGATGGACCACGGTGATGATGTGCTGTGATGCCAAGTTAGTGTTACTGCACACACACACACACACACACACACACACACACACACACACACACACACACACACACACACACACACACACACACACACACACACACACACACACACACCAGCACAAAGCAGTGCACACAACCATTATGCAACACCTGTTATTAGTTGTTTTGAACCCAATCACCTGCATGCAGATCTGTGCAGCCTCAGTTGGGGCTGTTTGTAATGGACGGTCAACGCATCGTCGACACAATCCACAAACGGAATCCAGGAGAGGGCGAGAGACCGTGGGAGGGGGAGCTTCCATCTGTTAATATGAAACGCTCAGATGCAGCTGAAACTGTAACCGTGCTGATTTCAACACCAGAAAAAGGGGCCATCATGAGTAACTCAAAGCTGCGTCCGAGGAGAGGAAACCAGCTTCATCAGCCGAGGGTCCATTCGTATGCGTCGCAGCTTCGGTGTGAGACGGCTCTTTGTGTAACAGACAGAGAGGATTATGTCCCGACACGACACACATTGTTGTGTAACGCTCGAGCCGTCGCAGCGAGCGACACCTCCGCAGATGCCGAGCGTTTCAGGAGAAATCTGTGGCGCCGTTCTTGAGACGAAACACAAAGTCAAGGATGGAAATCTAAAACACAAAGTCTCGAAGAGACGGATCCCGTCAGAGGATCAGGAGCTGTGAGGTTCTAGAATTTTTGGGTAAACGTAGCTGCTGTGGGATCAGCCAGAAGTTTACATTCTGTCTCCATCTGAGCAGCAGCATCTCCTCGGGGATGTAGCACATCTAACTTCTATATTCCAGTTTGACCTTTAATAGGTCTTAATTAATATTTTGGCCTTTTGCTGGAGTTTATAAAGATCATCCCGCTGAATAAGAAAGAGTTTGAAAAGTTCAACTTTGACTGTTTAACCCAGAATCCCACGTGGATTTATTAATCCGTTTCCTTTTAAAAGGCCTACTCACCAGGATGATGTAACTACACATCCTAATCATCATGTAAAACACCGATGTCCAGTCCCGGTCCCAGAGGCCCGCTACGCTGCACGTTTTAGCCGTTTCTCTGCTCCTGATTAGAATTGTTGGCGATCAAGCGGCTTCTGCAGATCTTGAGGAGGACCTGCTGAGTTAATTCACATAAATCAAGTGTATTGGAGCAGGGAAACAACTAAGGATTGGACACCTCTGCAGTTTAGGCCTCTAAAAATCTGGGTCAATATTTCACCTATAATGACAAAAAAAAAAGGGACAATTCAGCCCTGATTGAACTTCCTGGGACTTAACAGGGAAAATCTTTGGAGTGGACAAAAGTGCAAGTAGTGAAGGTTGGGAGGTAAAATGAACCTCTGTGCTTTTATTCCTGCAGGATTCACTCAAGTCTACCACTCCTGTGATCTTAAGCAATATAAATAAAAATTATAAAATATACCGTTACAGTGTTTTTAATGGTTTATTGGTTGCATTTTCCTGGATTAGCAGAAAAAGCTGCAGGTTGGAAATAAAATCACGTCTGCCCTTTTCTCTTCGTCATGTTCAGGTTCTCGTTTGTCCCACAGCATGTAAGTTGTAATTTCCTTGATTTTTGCTTAAATTTTCATTCCTCTGAGTTTAAATGTGTGATGGTTGCCATGGAGATCACTCACCATCACCTCTCCGATATCTCTGCCTCTGCTTGGTCTCTTTGCTGATGTCCTTGTGGGACGGCGACGCCTCCTCTGTCAGATCCTCGCTGTTGTCCAGGTCTCCCTCTGACACCGGCGATGTAGCAGGTGAGTCACCAACCCCGTTGACTCCCACCTCACACCCTGAGTGGTGGTTCTGGTTCTTCTCCCTGTTTGGCTGCGAGGCTTTGTCGTTCCCCTCTTTATCCACCCAGTCGGCCCGAGCTCTGGGTTCTGGGTGGTTTTGGGGGCTTGAGGGGTTGGAGGGGCTGCTGCTGCACAGGGACCTGAGCACAGAACTGGGACTGGAGTGCAGGGAGAGGGAGGGGGTCTCTGGTTCTCTGATCTGGGTGCATGGGGCTCCATAAGGTTCCTGGACAAATCCCACAAACAGCACACCCTGGTCTGCAGCATCCTGGATTTGCTGTTGTAGAAAAGAGCAGAATCAGAGAATTACAGACCAGATTGTTTGTTTCATTGTTTATGAGCTGAGAAAGCCAACAACCACTATTATTTTGACTTGTTTAAATATAAAATTTAAAGCATTAAATAATAATTATTGTAAGAGCAATTAAGTAAATACAGTAATACAACTAACCCTTTTTCCTCCCAAAAAATCTAATTTGTGGGAGTTTCTTTGGATAAAAACCTGATTGAAGTGGAGCTTTAACCCAGTGTCCCACTGGGATGCTGCTATTGACCACCAGTTAGAGTTAGAAACTAAGTTTCAGTGAGAATCACAATGAATTAATACTTATGTGAGTTTTTTTCTGAGTCTTATAGCTGGCACTTGAGCAAAGTGACAAGAGCGAGTAAAGTTATTTAAATATTCATTTTTGTTGGTTTTATTTTCATACAACATTTGGTAAAAGTTCAACAAAAAATTAAAGGTGCATGAAGTAAGAATGACATCCTGTGGTCAAATGTAGGTACTGCGGCCCGTGTTTCCAAACAAGTGACTCTGGGTGTTTCTCAATGCCAAGGAACCTTGCCTTGATGTCTTGACTCTGCCCCGGTTGCCTAGGAGATATGTCATCAGGAACTGCCAAGACATGTTTCAATGTTTATGTTCTACTGAGGCATGTGTTCTCCGTTTGTTAGCCGTTTAGCTAGCTGAGCATGGATACACGGGAGGAGTCTTGTACCCTAGCCTTGGTCAAAAATTACCCAGAATACACCGCAGTCTTTTTAAAAGGATGGCAGATCAGAAGCTGGCAGATACTTCGGGGGCAAATTTCAATTTTAAAAGTAAGTCAACTAATTAAAAATATTTTTTAGATCCAAACAAGTTATCTATGGTTGGTTAGTTGCTTTTTAGTTGCAGCTTTGATGGCTAGCGGGTAGTAACTCACTTGTATATTTTATTTAACAAATATAAACACAATTTATAAAGTATATTGAAACTAATACAATTAAAATATAACTATCTCCCGTGTCACGTGACATTACGTGACTGCCGTGGAAGTCACGGTCACATGATGTAAGTCTGTTCCATTGAACCGTTTTCTTTGACCAAGGAAGGACAGTGTCCTCGTAAGCAAGGCGCTTGGCCTCGCAAGACATCGCCTCGCAAGGCCAGGCGCCTTGACATTGAGAAATTCCTACTCACTCCCGTCCATGAGTTTCATGGCTGCTACCAGCTACAGATCAGCACCAGAATTTTCTAGATGACAAGTTAAGACCAGTCATACACAGTAAGTGATAAGCAGATTATACATTTCACTGTATTATCGAGTTGTTGGTAAATTAAAAAGCTGTTGAAGATATTTGTTTAGAGCCAGCGATTTATTTCTAATTCACCGTTAGCATTGATAGCTAAATGTTAGCCTCTAGCCTGCCTCCCCGATAGAGTAAAACAAAGGGATGCCGTGGCTTCTTAAGCCGGGCGGACACTGTGCGACTTTTTCACTCGTAGCACTCAGCTTCAGCTCAAACTGTACGACTTCCTCGCAGGGCAGATCTCACGAGTCGTGTGCTCCCACTGCACAACCCAGTTCTTGGATGCGACCTGACTGCTCACACTGTACGTCTGGTAGCAACACGTTGGATCTAAAAATATGCTAAAAATAGCAGTTTTTACACATCATGTCAGACAATTTGTCTTGTTTTGCCTGTTGTCCTTTGGGAGTGCTGCAGGAGGACACACAGGGATTTATGGAGGTTGGATGAGGAAAACGAAATAAAGAAAGTAAATCTGTGTTTTGTGATCCGTTTAATTTGACAAGAACACAACAAACACGCTTTCTTGACAATCTTTGTGAGTAAAAAAACTTGTAGAAATAAGAATGAAAAACGTGTGTTATTAGGGAAATAGCGGGCGAGCGGTGTTGATGCAGGATTGCGCATGCGCCGTGAGCAGTTCTGATACTTCTTGGGTCGCAGCTGCTCGCAGCGCCGCTTCAACAGTGCGATACCCTCACGAGGGACGAGCAAAATATCAAACACCCCAGAAGTCCGTGCAAGCTCAAGATTGCTGATCGGTCACGTGGTGCTAATCGCCTCTCGCAACCCCCTATGCAATACACGACGCTCAGCGCAAAACTCGTCCCGATCTTGTGGATTCTCACACGAGTGGAAAATCGGCTCTAAAAAGTGAAAAAGTTGTACAGTGTACGCCCGGCTTTACGGGTACAACAAATAACATCTGTGTTGCTGCTTTTACTGGCTAATATATATTTTATATATATATATATATGTATATATATGTATATATATATATATGTATATATATATATATATATATATATATATATATATATATATATATATATATATATATATATATATATATATATATGCGTTTGCAGGAGAGTGTTGATTTACAAATGAGTGATTTAGTGAATTTTTCACTGTAAAGTTTTCACTTATTGTAACTTTAAATAAAAGTAACACTTAACATGTAAAACTGACTTCAATAAATGAATAGTTCAAAAGAATAACTCATTAACACAAAACATGTGAATGAATAAAACATAATACAAATTCAAGCGAAACTTTTTGTAGCAGTTTAGTCAAAAGGTGTCCGGATTGGTTTTCATTTGATCATAATTCACCTTCATACTAACTTTCCACTTTGTCTGATGTGCCTTCCACTTTTTGACTGAGGCTAAACCAGCAGGGGTCCCAGACACGTTCCAGGTCCCCTCAACTAATCTGTAATAATCTGAGAAGACGTGCTTAGATCAAGGCTGTGACTGATGTGAGTAAATGAATACACCTTCGAAAATATGTCAAGACATTTTGGAAACTCCATCACAAATGTTGTTGTTTGTTACCAACAGTCCTCTTCAGGGAAAAGCTGATTTAATTATCTGTACTACGACAACAACTACAACAATTACTACAACAACTACTACTATGATGCAAAACTTCCCAAAACCTGTGATTTTGAAAACAAACCCAGCGCCTATTTTTCTGTCTTGTTTGATGTCAGATTTGTGTTGCTGCTACAGTTAGGGAACGTTAATGATGTCTTTCTCCATTTCTGCCTCATTCCTCCCAGCTGAGGCACCCCCGACCCCACCCCCCACCCGTCCTCTCTATCTTTGAGCTCCGGTTGAGGAGAGAAAATAAAAATCAAATCAAACTGCAAGTTATTCACTATGAAATTGAATTGAAAAACAGTCACACTGTCTCCAGCCATATTGTTTAGCATCATTTGAATGCTGTCTGGCAGCTCCCACATCCCATTCCCAAACCAATATGTCCAAATGGAATTGCTGACATAAAAGGGAGCAATGGTTGCATCTCATTTACCTGTAGAGCAGAGAGAAAGACGACGACTGATGTCAGAGCTGCTGATAGAACAATAGATCCAAACGATGACTTGTAATGATTGAATTTATTTTTGGTTTCCATTTTTATTATCGTCACCATCATTTCATTACGTTCCACTCTGGACAATTCCAACGATTCAGAATGGATTTATTTTCTATCCATCGCAACATAGAAGTGACAAGTGTCAGGATGTCGTATCAGAACAAATTAAAAGGGAATGAAAAACAAAATGAGAGTAAACAAAACAACAACAGTTTGATGTGATATGAAGGATTTAATAGAAACAGATAAATATCTAAAGTGTTGAGATAAGAATAACCAGAGGCCAGAACAAAAATAAATAACAAAAACAAGTAAATATGGAAATAAACTGCAGGAATACCGTAGATGAGATAATCTAAAATAAATGATTAAAACATTTCATTTGTTTTCAAATCATCAAATCTGTTGTGTGGAAAAAAAAATAAAATTCTGGTGAAAAGATAAAAACACTCCAATAAATTTTGAACATATTTTTCTTTCATTGCCTTTTCTCTCTTTCTTTATGTTTCTTATGTTTAGACAATGGTTAAATAAGGGGAAGCCCCCCCCCCCCCCCCCCCCCCCCCCCCGATGAATGAACAAGATGTTTAAATGAAATGTTTGAATAACCTGTGTTTAAAGCAACAGATTTAACATGAATATTGTTCTTACAATGATCCATTTATATCACAAATCCGTATGTGTTTGATTTAACAAGTTAATCATTATTTACACTCATACACATCACATAAGAGTTTTAAGACATTCTCATTCCCACTGTTAAAAACATATTTTAATCTGAAGAAGACGCGGCTTTGTGAGGAATGTTTTGGTAAAGCCTTCCAGACATGGCACATTTTTATTTGCCAGAATACGCCAGAAATTACAAATAACGAGTTTAATAAAACAAGAATTGCTTCCCGAGTAATTCAGTTTCCAGCTGACCCCCGATTCGGCCAAATCGGGAAAGAAGCATCTTTTGAAACCATCTCCTTAAGTCAAAACCTCTCTGCGACGCTGCAAGTGATTACAGACACAACAGCTCTTTTCAGAGTTACTTCAACTCTCAGACATCCACCTTGGACACCTAATCTGCAGACCCCAGGTTGCAGCTCATGGTCGGGGAACCTGAACTCAGAGGAAGCTACTAATCCCTCAGTATTGTGGTTTCGACGTCCGGTGACCTCACCACTCTGACCGCAACCCTCCGGACCGCCGGGAGCAACTCATGCAAGGGTATCATAAGCCTGCATTCTGGTGTCTGGTGTGGTTTATAAATAAACACCTCTCTAGTTTATAACAAACAACAACTTCTTTTACACCCAGATTTCACAATTTCTCGCAGATACAAAGAATGGTTGCTACAACATCTAGCTTCCATCACAACACCTCACATCCACCCCATCCGATCTCCTTATTCATATCTTGTCATGTATCATTAGTTTAGGAAAAAGAATTAAATTCATTCTATAAACTGTATACTGACTACAGTGTATTTATGATCCCTGAATCAATCAATCAATCAAATCAATCAAAGCTTTATTTATAAAGCGCCTTCCACAACCCTGTCAGGAAGCCCAAAGCGCTGAACATTGTACAGTTGTATGTAAATATATTGAATAAATC